GGCCTCTTGACGTGTCTAAACAGGTTTTGGATCATCTTCTTATTTTCGCAGCAGCGTGTTTCAGGCTCGCCCTGAACTCTAGGACTCTAACATAGTCAACCTTCTACCGTGAAGCCTGGGCCAGGGAAGGAACCACGTCATTTTCAAGAAGGCAAAGAACGATTAGTTCAGTCTCCCTAAGGTGGAGAATAGGAGAGTAATACAACCTAGGAGAGGACCTGCGACTTCAGACCGTTACGGATCCAATTTGCAGAGAAAGGCTGGCTTTGTTCCTGGAGGGCACACAGAATTTTCCGTGACAATAGGAAATTCATGATGTAGCTGCAGAGAATGGCTGTCAAGTAGGTTAAAAAAAAAATAATAATAATAATATAGCCAGGTGATAGGGAGTCCTAACTGCTACGCCAAGGTATGTGGATAGTGCAGGGGGTATTTTTGCTTTGTTTTCATTTGATAGTTACCCCACTGACAATTAGGATCCATCATCAGTTATTCTTCCCCATAGGAATGGCTTGGTTAGAGGTGGACTAGGGTGGTAAGGAAAGGCAGGGGTTTATAAGGAACACAAGTAAGAGCATCTGCCACAGGCCCGGGCAGTACTCGGCTTTCTTATCAGCCTTAACAGAGGCAGGGAATGTTCTCTTGAAACTTTTAAGTTTGGCTTATTTGAAGTTTTACTTTCTAGTAGTCTTCCTACAGTGCCTTCTGTGTACTCCTCAGCCTGAAGGACAGTGAACTCAGCCTGAAGGGATGAGCATGTTGAGCATTCAAGTCTATGTTGATGTATTTGTAAGGCTTAATCATCTGAAACAACGACTTACACCGAGTGTCGTGTGCCTTTATAATCTGCCATGCGAGGATGAACGTTTGTATGTGGAATGACAATCAGGTCCTATGCAATCAAAGCAAGAGACACCATTCCCCTGGTACGACAGTTGACCGCATTAAAACATGGCAGATAGAGTGGTCCACTCTATGTGGTGTTCTGTAAGCTTCTTGTGCTTCCCTAGGCATGTCTTTCTTTAGGTTAGGGAAGTTTTCCTCTCTGATTTTGCTGAATATGTTCTCCGCGCCTCTGAGGTAAGTTTCTTCGCCTTCTTCTATACCTATTATTCTCAGGTTTGGTCTTTTCGTGGTGTCCCACATTTCCTGGATGTTTTGTGTTAAGGATTTGCTGGATTTAAATTTTTCTTTGGTCAATGAGTCTATTTTCTCTAGTTTATCTTCAGCACCTGAGGTTTTCTCTCCCGTTTCTTGTATTCTGACGGTAATGTTTGCATCTGTAGCTCCTGATTGTTTACCCAGATTTTCTATTTCCAGCATTCTCTCAGTTTGCGTTTTCTTTATTGTCTAATTTTTCAGTTTCCAGGTCTTGAACTGTTTGAATTGTTTCCATCACATGTTTGATTGTTTTTTCATGGCTTTCCTTACAGCGATTTGTTGAGTTCTTGGTTTTTTGTTTGTTTGTTTGTTTTGTTTTATCTTTTCCTGTATTTCTTGAATTTTATTTTTTTTTTAGTTATTTCTTTTCTTCCATTTTTTTTTTAATGGATTTTCTCATTTCCTCTTTGAGGACCTCTATCACTTTCATAAAGTTGTTTTTAAGGTCATTCTCTTCTACTTCATCTGCGTTGGGATGTTCAGGTCTTCCTGGTACAGAATCCCTAGACTCTGGTGGTGACATATTTATCTTTCTGTTGTTGGATGTGCTCTTATACCGTTGTCTTCCCATCCCTTCTCCCAGTGGGTTCAGGTGGGTACAGGTCCAGGCTCTCTCCTCTCCTAGTGGGTGTGTGTGGGTCCAACACAGGAATGGCAGCAGATGCTGGATGCTTTGTTCTGCTTCCAGGTCTGTCTGGGAAATTTGGTGGCAGGAAGGGTCTGGAGGCCGGCTGCAGATCAGGGGGCTGGAAGAGGGAAGGGTGGGCTAAGAGCCTCCAGCACTCACCTCTCTAACGCCTCCTACTCCCCTTCCTCTTCCGGGTTAGTTACCCACCCTTCTACTTTCCTGTGGGGTGTGTGTGTGTGCGTGTGTGTGTGTGTGCGTGTGTGTGTGTGTTCCTCATTGAATTTGTTAGGTTGTGGAAATGGGTGTAGTGAGATGTAATCTACAGAAGGTTAGGCTTCAGACCAGTGACTGCACTGATGGGGGATGTCCTTCTGTGTATATGTTTCTCTTGTTGGTCGGCGAATAAAACACTGGCCAATAGAGGCAGGAAGACAGGGGGGCTAGGGTGTGAAGAGAATGCTGGGGAGAGGAGCAGGGAGGTGCAGGAAGAAGAAGCCATGTAGCTTCCAAAGGAGTAACAGGTCTGCGCATTCTCCAGTAATTCAAGACCATGTGGAAATTCATAGATTTATACAAGTGGGTTAATGTTTAACACAGAGCTAGCCAATAAGAAACCCTAGCCACCAGCGGACAGTTTAATATTAATGTAAGTCTTTGTGTGCTTATTTGGGGGCTGAAAAGCAACTGTGGGACCTGGCGGGTAGGAAACTCAAACAACACTGTACTGATGACGAAAATGTCTCCCTGTCCCCTATCAAAGACAGCTCCTCAGGCAGTGGTAGGACCTCATGAGCACCTCCCCTGTCTGTGGCATAATTGTTGATGGGTCCAAAGCTGTGCAAATACTATGTTCAAGGGAGCAGGGGCCACTCCATACCCAGAAGGCTCGGTCCCATAGCAACAGCTCTTGCTTTCCTCCTGCCCTTCTTCCCTGAGCCTTGGGGGGGGGCTGACATGATGGCCCATTGCAGGATGAACATTCAACCATGGACTCATCCTCAGCACGATGGCCCATTATGAACCTCTGCAATAACCACCACCCATTACAGAAAGCAGCTTCTGTGCCAAAAAGACAGCAACGTAGCCCGCAGGCTCAGACTAGGTATTGAGAAGGCAACTTGGCACGCACAGCGTGTCCATTCAGCAATACAACAGCAATACATCCCACTCAGGCCAACATTTATGTAAACAGACCGTTCTGCGGTTCTGATTATTCATTTTAGTTTCCTACTCTCGGTGAACTGGGAGGTTATCCGACATACCTGTTGCTGTTAATTAGCAGTTGATGCAATGGCAGATATTATAGAATAAAACCTAAGTTATAGTTGCTTTGCTCATTGAAATGTTTTCTGAAAAGGCATTGCTCCTGTGCGTCCCTGACGCAGCCATTTCAGTTTAGGATGCATCGTATCTTAGAAAAACAAAGGTACATGACGTGGTTTCCTACCTCTAAAAGCCTGGAATTCTCAGCCCTGGGAAAACCAGAAAGAAATTAATGCACAGCCTGTCACCCCACAGCAACAGTTTTATACAGTTATCCTTTGAGCTAGGATTTTCATCTCCTTGATTTCCAGATGTCCAACACGTCCTGTTGATTTCAGGTGGCTCTGTATACTTGGTTCTTCACTATAGCGATCCCTCTCTGAAATTAGCAGAGCTTCTAAAGCACCCTCTTTTGCCCTGGAGACTAAGTAAATGATATCAAAAGTCCACACTGCCCCCAAAATAAAGTTTGTAAAATGTTGTATCCCCAGTTCTGAAAAAGAAAGAAAACAAAAAACAAAAAAAACCCAAGGGCAGTAGTGGGAGTGCTTACTGTATTTTAACTAGCAGTGAATGCTGTTGCTGGGGATTTAAATTGTCTTTTCAGCGTGTCCTCGGGAAGATAGCAGCCCCCTCTAGTGGAGAGTGAGCCTTGTAGCAGAACCATTTCCCTCAAGCATGAGCTGCATAGTTAAGATTCTGAAGTGAAGGGCAATTTCTGCTTCACGTTGGTTTGTGTTTCTCGTCATATTTTAGCCGAGAAAATCCTGTTAATCAAAGGATATTTGCAAGAGAGTTGTTTGAAGTCACGCCAATGAAGGGGAATGTTCTGAGTAAGCAAGGCAGAGGGTGCTGACTTGTGCCAAAGTGCTAAGATGCTAAGAAACAAAATATATACTTACATGTGTGAATCTGTGGGATCTATAATTATACTGTGGGGGTTTGAATGTAATCAGCCCCCATAGGTAGTGGATCATAGGGAATTAATGGCACTATTAAGAGGTATGGCTTTGCTGGAGTAGGTACAGCCTTGTTGGAGGAAGTGTGTCACTGTGGAGGCGGGTTTTGAGGTCTAAAGCCATGCCCTGTGTATTAGTTCATTTCCTGTTGCCTGTGCAAGATGTAGGAATTTCAGCCCCTTCTCCATCCCCATGTCTGCCTGCATACCACCATGTCCCACCATGATGATAATGGACCTCCCCCCTCTGGGATTCATTGTTTCCCTTTACAAGAGTTGCCATGGTCATGGTGTCTCTTTACAGCAATAGAAACCCCAACTGAGACATATACAAACTCTTTAACTTCCTAGGTCAAACTTATACCTTCACTGATAGTTACATAGCTTGAAGGGTAATCTTATCCCCTGCCTTTGTCCTGAGCTGAGACTGTAACTTGTACAATACTGCACACCTGAAAGTCAACTTTGACCTCTGTGTTCCCATTAACTTTCCAGAATATAAGCTATGCTCACCATATTTCTTTATGAGTCAAAAATAGTGGCCCAAACTCCATGCTTTGTAGGTCTCTAGTTTTCTGTCCCCTATGACTTGCGCTGTGCCTTATAGAGTTTAATGGTTTTGTAAAAAGTTGTTTCTGTACCATCAAAATAAATAAATAAAAATTACCCAGGCAAGCAAGAAAATAAATGGCACATTACAGATAAATTGAGTTTAGAATTAATAGAGAAAAGGGGAAGGCTAATGAATCTATTATCAATAAAAACTTATAGCCCAAAACAGTGAATGGTATAAAGACAAGTTCTGGGAATGGGTATAGGAAATTGTAGAAATTCTTGGTTTTAACCCCCTACTCCATGTGTTTCCTTCATTCTTCTTGTGAGTAGCATCTATCAAAGAATATGCTCAGTCATGTCATCGTAGCTGCTGACGAACGTAGTCTACAGTGTACAGAGTTTATTCCACTAATCTGTTTCTCCTGTTTCCCACAGCAAATGATGTGCTTGCCTTTGGAACACTGGTCAGTACTTCTAACACCTACGATGGGTCTGGGGTCGTGACTGTGGAAACTGACCACCCGCTTCTCTGGACCATGGCCATCAAAGGCTAACCTATAATGTGGCATCCGTCATGTCCCTCTGCCTTCCCTCATCTGCCCAGCGGTTCATTGCTCACCAGGAACAGAATCACCTCGGTGTGCAGAAATCTAAATTTCTCCATAGGAAACCATGGGCTCTCAAGATGTTGGGGGTCGGGGTACAGCTGAGCAGAGGAGCACTTGCTGCACAAGCGCAAGGTCTTGGGGTTCAACCTTCAAAACCACAAAATAGAGATGCTGGTGTGTAAACATTCTAGGCCATGCTATAAATGACATCTTGATTCTACACTGAGGGAAAGCTATGTTCTATCAAAGTAAATAAGCTTTATTATACTCAATTGAAAAAGTCAATGTAGATCATTGCCTTATATAATTCAGTTCTGATCATTTTAATTAATCAGTCCACTTACCTTAAAACCCTTTCCTAATTTCAAAGCACCAAAAACTGTTGTCTGTGTTGCCTTGGAGTCTAGCACTTCCTTAAATGCCTGATGACAAGGGCTACCTACCTCTGAGCATCTCCCAACATGGTATTCCTCTCTGTAATGTGTATTATCTCCCAGGGTGCTGTGATAAAATGGCAGCCTTTCACTTTGACATGACATTTTTAAAATATAAGAATCGTTGACTTAGCTGTTACATTTGAAAGCAAACAGCTACATGGGCTACCGGTAAACGAGAAGCGGTAACTCATGACTCTCCACCATACATTAGCCCCTCAGAACTTGAAAGTTAAACACTCCGTGCTTCAGAAATGCAGGAACCATTGTGAAAATCATGACAGATCCAAAGGGTTTGTGCAGAGGAGTCTTAATCCTAAAAGTTCAGTCACCTTTAACATACCTCCCACTAGAAAATGAAGTGGACCATACATTTCCCGGCATCCCCCGGAAGACGAGTGTGCCTGCGGAGATGGGTGCACACAGCCCGCGGAGACATCAACAGCTGCGGGCTGTCTCTTCATCCCAGTCCACCATGTGTCTGGCTCCTGAAGCCTGTCTAGCTGTAGAGTGGAAGGGGTTGTAATCACTGAATGTGGGAAAGAACCACAGGTACAAACCCTAAATGCTACCATGTTGCAGTTGACGAGCAGGTAGTACTAGCTTGGTGTAAGGTTGCTGGTGCATTAAAAGGCATTCCTGTTTGTTTCAGGAGCTCCCCCGCTCATCTTCCCACCTTCTCCTATCCCGTTTGTTAAACTGCATCTTGCCAAACAATCCATGTCTTAAGGACAGTCTATCCACCATGTTGTGTTATCCATGACTATGTATGTCACTGTCTTCTTGGTGCTACAATACTATAAGGCTTAAGACATAAAGTAGAGAAAGGAAAAGGATCAGTTGAACCAACAGTAAGTCCTGAACATAAATTGTCAGAATTATTGTAATCATTTATGCAAATACACGATTGTGAAGTCTGGATGTCAAATAAAAACAGTTATCTGTGTGCATGTCTACAGTGATTTTCTAAGAAAATGTTCAACTTGATCACTTGTATTTATTTCACGATGACCCATCTCTCATAGTCAGTGTTTCTGCTCAAAGGGTGACTAAAGATGGGTAATTCATAATTAAATCTCATATGATTTCAAGAAACAATCCAGTTGTATTAAGTTCTTCCTCTACCCTTTCTCCATGGACGTTACTCTCTAGACAACCTGACCTAATGACTCTTATTCCATTGTTCTGGACCCTTATTTCTCTATCTTTAAAAATAAGAATTGATTGTCTTACCTAGCCACGTTATAGGAATGAGAAAAGGCAAACACAAAGATACTTGCATCATGGGTGTCAACTTGCTGGAGAAAAAAGAGCTCGTAGTGAACCATGTGCCTTCTGTGGTAGACAGAAGAGAGCAAGACCTCTGAGGAGCAGGAAGAGAAGAGATGGGACAGTGGAAGATTACATTGCTGCCAAAGAGACAGGCTCATGGCTGGGGCTTTCTGCATCTCCTCAGTTCGAGATGCAGAGCTCAGAGGCTCCGTGCGTCCCTTCCATTCCCAACAGACCAATGCTTCTTGACCACAAGAGAGGAGCAGCCAAGCTCCTCCACCGATTCAGTAGGAAAGCTTGTGCCGCCACAAACAATACTTGCCACAAATGAGGTTAGAAGGGGAAAGGAGACAGAACCAAAGCTGGGTATACAGCATCTTCTTTCCTACCAGTCTCTCCTCCGTGCCAAGGAGAGGTTCAGCTATGTCTCCATCTTCCAGTTTGTAGACTGCTGTACGTTCATGATGAAGTATATTCTTTACATGCAAAAGACATATGTCTGTCGTTCTAAAAATTTACTATTACTGTATGTCTTATTTAACCTGCAAGCATCTGTGCGTGTGTGCGTGTCTGTGTGTGCACGTACGTGCGTGCTTCAGTGAAGCTTGGTAAACATACACACACTGGGATGAATGAAGCATAGATACTTAACTCAGGCTATCACTTGTGAAACGTTGGATGACCACCTCAGGGGTTATCTCAAAGCAAAGGCCCCCATCCCCAGATCCTGATGGTGTAAAACCTGCAGAGCGTGGACCTTCACGCTCCCACTCAGGAAAGGCGACACCCCAAATCACTCATGAGAAGCCGTCTCAATGCAAATAGCATGAGGAGTTTTTATTCCAAGTGCACTGGGGGCCACACAGGGGCAGAGGACTGAGAAACTCGATTGAGACAGTTTTTATAGGATTTACATCAAAGTTAATAAGGCCAGTTTCAAAGCTAGCCTGTTATTCTCATTAGGCCTGAAAGCAAGGTCATGGGATAGTTCAAAACGTGGAATGGTTAGTAAGATTTCCTAGGTTACAGAGATTTAGCACACCTGTAAGGTTAGGGGGGTTTCTTTCTCAAGAACCAGTGGGCTCAGTAGCCTTGTCCTTGAGTGGCTGGGAGAATGTTCTCTCCAGTCAGGGAGTTGTCTATATCTATTGGCAGAGGCTCCTGTTCTCTGTCTTTCCCTTTTTGCTATGAGTCCACCTTTTAGTTATTTTTTTTTTTTTTTTTTTTTTTTTTTGTGGACAGGATGACCCATAACAGTTCCCAGACTGTTGTTGTGGATAACAATATTCTTCAGAAACTAGGTGATTATGAATAATAATAATAATAATAATATCCAGAAACCAGTCATTGTGATCAAGCTATTTCATGTGTGTTTTTTTTGTTGTTGTTGTTGTTGTTGTTTTTTTTTTTTTTCCTGAGCTTTGCATGCAGCTAGGGTGATTTTTAAATACATGCTGATGGGCCTTTACTAAATTTCTAACTTTTAGTGGTCGTTAGAGAGTTAAGCTGTATTTTCATCCTTTCAATGGGAACCGCTTGCTAGTGTTCTAACAACCCTTTCCTGTTCCTTGAAACTAGGTGAGGGCAGTCCCTCTGACTGTCATCTCGATGTTTACCTACTTTTTTCACAGCAACAATGGGAGCCTGCAAATGGTGAGGGCGCAGGTTCATGGTGAAAGTGAACCTCCCAAGGGATCCCTCTTAGCCCCGATTCAGGTTAGACTCCGACCGCAGCCGTCAGCGATAATGGCAAAATACAAGTTGGGCCTGCTAGGGGGAGCTACTTGAACCTTGACCCCTCGACTTTGATCAATTCCCTCCTTCCTTAATAGTGACTCTTGCATGAAATAGTAACACTGGCTATTCAAATTATTAGCCATGTCTGAGCCAGCAGCAGAGTCGTTCGCCATTTTGTTGGTGGTGGTGGTAGTGGTGGTTTTTGTTTTTCAAGGCAGCTTTTCTCTGTGTAGCTTTGGAGCCTGTCCTGAAACTAGCTCTGTAGACCAGGCTGGCCTTGAACTCAGAGAGATCTGTCTGCCTCTGCTTCCTGAGTGCTGGGATTAAAGGCGTGCACCACCAACAATGCCCAGCGCAATCACTTTTTCAATTACTAGAGTATCATGTGACTGTGAGATGTTGTGGAGGAGTAGGGTGGAATCAGATATGAGTCTGGCAGGAATACTCTGAGGAAAGGACAGAGCAGTTTCCACTGGGGTTGAAAACTAGGACTTTTACTCACACAGAAGCAAGGAGGAGGTACACACCGCTTGGGTATTTTTGACGCTATAATACTAAAGTTTTGCCTCGGGCTTCTGTGTGTGGAGTGTCCCTCTCATCTACCCTTGTGTGGAGCCAGTCTTGCTTGCTACTCCTGCTCAGCCACACCTCCACACACACTACTTGAACTACAGAAATGAAGCAACCCAAAGGTGGGATGTGATTGTGACATGGATCACCAAGTCAGTGATCAGGGAGAAATGATTCTTCACTCCTCCAAGACTCTGATCATTATGGTCTCAGTGGTGGCTTCCAAACTGTGTTTACAATGACCACAAAGAATATATTTACTTTATGAGCAGGCACACCGCATGCACAGAGAGAGAGAAAGAGAGAGAGGCACACACAACTCACACACACACAGAGAGAGAAACATGCAATATCTTCTAATTTGACCTTAAACTGAAAAGAACTCAGGTGCATTTGAACAGCATACCTCAAAAAAGAGCAAAATGCATAACATTACTTTTAAAAATATGTGTGTGCATGAACATAGGAGTCCTACCCTGAGATTACAGTAATTTTTGTTTTAAATGTATGATATTGATGTCACTTTTAAAATATATTTCTCTGTACAGATTAAAATTTAAGCCACAAGGCCAATTCCTTCCTAGGGAGTTCTTGTATAAAGTCTGGACAATAACTGGCAGGTGTAGTAAGCACAAATTTGCCCTTCCTTGCCCATAGCAGATTTCGCTCATCAGTCATAATTTTCTTTCCTGGTGAGCCCCGGCCAAAGCCTCGAAATCCATCTCAAAACAGTTATCCAAGCAGATGTGATTGCCGCCGCTCCACTGGCTCAGAGCTAATGTGTTTTTTGTTTTGTTTTCCCACTGTATACAAAACCACTCTGCTGACAGCCCAGGAAAGAGGCCGTGCAAACATTACTCTTGCTCACAACTAATGGGTAAACAAACACATCCGAGGACTTGTTCGCTGTGTGCTAAAAGCAGGGGCTTTGTACACAGAGAAACGAAAACTAGGTCTACCCCTGAGAATAACGTGGAAAACATAAAGTGGGCCCTGTGCTCATTTTAGTTGAGGAGGCAGAATCTTCAGAACAGGCTTTCAGATTCTCACTGGGAGCCAGAATCTCTAAGACACAGTACCGACAAGAGTCTGTCCAGATAGGGAAAAGGATTTTGATAAAGAACCCCCAAAACATTAACTTGTACCTTAGCAACTATTTATTTTAGAAATATCTTTTAAAACCTGAAGACTGAGTGAAAATGTACTAGACCGGCCTTAGGTGAGGGGACAAAAATAAACAATTTTAAGTTTAAAATTCTGCAGTAGGACAGCGCTCCGTCTGAGTAATTAATTTCATGCCCAGTTGTTTAACGTTATGAATCCTTCATAGACCATAAACCCCTGTGGACACATGTACATCTGTCTGTCTTGTCATCTTCCGTCTCCTGCTCTAGGCCAGGACCTGCCTGCTGTAGGAGTCCCAGGAACACATGTAAAATGCCGCTGTGCTAGCAAACCTCTGCCTTGCACCGCACAGAGGGAACACATGCATTTCCCAGCCCCTAGCAATCACTGTCCTTTCCTTCTGTGGTCCTGAGCTGTCTGCTCTTCAGATATGCTAACATCCCTCTTAACATGGCTCCCTGTCCTAATTATGCATCGGACACACCTGGTTAAAAAAAAAAAAAAAAAAAAAACATGGTTCACTTTCCTATCTAGAGAGGGGAGTAATATTTACAAGGCCAGGCTACACAGCAGGTATTTTTATCAAGTGCTGGAGCACTTGCCATTTGGAGGTTCAATTCAGAACGGTGGCTGTCCTGAGCACATGCTGTTTCTAACAGCGTTAAAGGCATGCGGTTCGATTCTGATCTATTTGTACTTAAACCTACCTGCTCCCCCAAACTAAGCTGATGAAATCAGTTTTTGAATTCTAAGGCCATGAATCGGTATATACTGTCTCCAGCTAAACTGCCCACGATAAACCCAGTTATTTGTGACTTTTGAGTCATTGTTCTCCATTGAATAACCTATTGATAAAGAAGAGTCCTGTTTTAATTTAAGCCAGGTGTGGTGGTGTACGCCTACAATCCCAGCACTTGTGAGTGGAGACAGGAGAATCAGAAGTTCAAGGTCATCCTCAGCTATATAGTTAGGTCAAGGACAACTGGGCTACAGGAGACTTGCTTTCAAAAGCAAAACAACCAAAAAAAAAAAAAACCTATGTTATAAAAACATCACTTTTATGAATGCGCTTAGCATAGCAAGCATTTGCAGAGTGCATGCAGACTTTGTATTTGTGGCCTTTCTTTCACCAGCCCTCTTTGCCAATTTCCCCTCCTTAGCCCACCACATCTTGCTGGACGGACCTGATAATCTTAGTCGTCTTATGAAATTTAAAATCCAGTTACCTCCAACATAATGGCGTTTTCCAGTACTATGCCTTTATGAGCAAAAGTCCCAAGAGTAAGGAATGTCTTTGAATAACGTAAAAGCCACCTTTCTTCATTGTGTAAGAAAGACTTAAGTGCCCAG